GGGTTCTGGGGGTGGCCTGGGATGGACGAATTGTCCAGTGGTTCAAGAGGAAGGCTGGTTCAGCGATTAAGATGCTACCCTAGGACTTGAGAGATCTGAGTTCAAATCCCTGCTCTGCTGCAGAGTTCCTGTGAGACCCTGAGCAAGTCATTTCGTTTCTCGGGCCACAATCACCATTGTACAGTGGGGACAATACCTCAGAAGTGTGTGGGGATAATACACTATTGATTGTGAGGCGCTCAGATACGACAGTGAGGGAGGCCAGGAAAGCACCTCAGAGAAATTAGACCTGGGAAGCCCAGTGCCTCTTTGGTGAGGCATCAGCACTTATCAGGCTCCCCTAGCACTGCTGCCTCCACTCCCTGTGCCCAAGACAAAAGCTAAACTCCAGACAGGTCTCTTCAGCCTCTAATCACGTAATTCATGTGCCTGGCCTGGTCTCTCCCCCCTGAGTCCCAGGGCTGCTGGTTGCTTGCACACATTTTCTCTTCCTTTGCTCGCATTTCTCTGCAGGATCTGGGAGTTCCCCAATGACTTTCCCCTTTTCCACACTGAGGTCTCTCTCCCTGTGTTGAATTTTAGGTTCTCTTCCCCTAACAGTGAGCGGTGGGATGGGGGGGGCCTGTTTCTGGCTGGCCGTCTATCCCATTGACTCAGTGAAGTCTCGGATCCAGGTGCTTTCCATGGCAGGGCGGCAAGATGGCTTCCTGCTCTCCTTTCTTCACATCTTGAGGACAGAAGGTAGGTGACACACAAACAGCTTCATTCACTGAATCCATCTTTAAAGTTAGACATTTTAAAATCAGCAGGTCCAAATTATTTGCATCCAAGAGTTTTGAAAGAGCTGGCAAAAGAATTTTCTGGACCATTAACATTAATTTTCAAGACTCAATAAGCTCAATCTATTTATCTTAACAAAGACATTAAGGGCTGATTTGATTACAGTCTAATAAATACCTAAATGGGGAACAAATATTTGATAATGTGCTCTTCAGTCTAGCAGAGAAAGGTCTAACACTTGGAAGCTGAAGTTAGACAAATTCAGACTGGAAATAAGGTGTAAATTTTGTCAGTTAAACATTGGATCAGCTTACCAAGGTGGTCGATTCTTCATCACTGACAATTTTAAATCAAGATTGGATGTTTCTGTAAAGGATCAGCTCTAAGAATTATTTTTGGGAATTGTCACACAGGAGGTCAAACGAGATGATCACAACGGTCCCTTCTGGCCTTGGAATCTCTGGTTCCCCTACTCGAAAAGGGGCTGTGGGCATTCCCCAGGTTTGGTCTCTCCTGCCTGGGAGTGTTTCCCTTGACATCTTGCTCTGGTTGAGAATCTCACCAAGCTGAGGCCGTTGTGGGCTCCGTAGGGGACGTTCTGTTTGTCTGTCAAGGCCTGGTGAGCTCACCTGATTGTGGTGTTTGTGTTGTAGGTTTCACGGCTCTTTACTGTGGACTGATGCCCACAGTGATACGCGCACTCCCCTCCAACGGTGCCCTCTTCCTAGCCTATGAAATGACGAGGAAAAAGCTAACTGGCCTGCTTGATAGGACACCCTGAGGTCAGAGGTCAAGGCCTGATTTGGAAGGTGGCATTATAAAGCAGCTTGAACTAAGTTTGGGACTCCTTTCTGGCTGCTGTGGCCAAACCTTTCTGGATGGTTCTCAGTGTCTTTGGACTTTTGACACCTCCCAGCCTGGGAAGGCCTGATGTCAGCAGGCACTGAGCAGGCTGGCATTTAAGGAGTAATATTATGTTCACAGGCATTTCAAAGGGATGGGGACAGGGTTCAACCCCTGGGCAATGCAAAACTGAATCATATAGATTTCCTTCTCTAGTGGGTTCCCTGTGTGCCTCCTTTCTAAAAGTCTACTCTTTAACCTGCATTTCTGATCAAACCCAAGTGACCTGTGTTTGCTGAAATGGAGCAGAGAAGTAAGCATGCCCCAGCAGGCAATGGTGTCTAATATGATATGTTTGTCTTTATGTACATAGATATAATGAGAATAAAACGTTCCTAGATTTTTGTGGCAATAAATTAAAATCTCTAATCTGGAGAGGGTTTCTCTGTTTTGATGGGGGAGAGTGGTGGGATTCTGGAACTAGAGAATCAGGAGGAGGAAGAATCTGGGCAAACTCAGTCTGGGACTTGTAGAACATTGTATAACATTTGCTCTTTTCTCCTGTGACCTCAGTGATGACAGTGGAATGTTCGAGGAAGCTCCAGAGAGTATGCTCCCATGCTGGATTTCATGAGAACCTGTATGAAATGCTTTACTGAAGTCCAGATATGCTCCCTTAGTACACTGATGTATGCATGTCCAGCAGTAGCCAGCACCTTCCTCCTAGCAGCCACCCCTGTTCACTGGATTCGACATATCAGTTCAGATGCTTAAGGCATGCACTTGGGACCCTCCAGAATGTCTTTTCCTTTGGTTTGGTGAAAGCCTTTGGTTATTTCTGTAACTTTTGGACTGTCTGGACCCCTCAGTTCAGGGCAACTGCACCAGTATTTCCCCTCTGTGGTCCACCAAGGGATCCACTCTAGGCTCCCAGATCATCATCTGTCACCTCTCTTGGGTGGAGACTCATGTCTCTCTCCCTCCAGACTGGGATTTTTCCAGGCTGCAGAGTTCCTTGCCTACACTGTGATATTCCCAGCAAGCGAGACTTTCTAAATTGTATCTGTGCTTTGCTTTGCTTCCTCTCCTGAGGCTGTGAACAGAGTAATTACCAGCAATCACCAGTCACCACACAGATCTTTCTAAGCAAGCACATTTATTTTTAAGGTGAAAGCATTACAGAGAAAACAATAAAAAACCCTCACACATTCTAAATGCTCAACGGCGGTCCTCCGTCTCCAGCCGCAAGTTCTGGTGGGCATCAGTCCTTCAAAACCCACAGAGCTGCAAGTTCATGACTATCTCAAATTCTGAACCAGAACGACCAGCTGGGCAGTTCATCTGTTTCTTTATACAGCTTGGGCCTTTGATCTCTAATCTTCGGGAACAGGTAACCAGCAGTCAAAGACCTGCCCCTCAGGGCAAAGCTTCAAAAGGCAGGGTTTGTGCATAACCAGAAGTGGGGAATTTGCATTAACCAACCCTCCCCCCGCCTTCCAGGTACTCTACAGGAAACCCACATAACGCTTATTGTCTATTCTTGTCCAAAAGTCCATTCTTGTCTTGCACATTTTCAGTGGTAGTCCTTTGAACTTGCAGGCCTCAGATCACATCTCCCCCCTAGAGAGGTGCAATGGGGTGTGTACTCCACACAAGCCCTGAATGGATTAATGTGGGCCTGATTGAAGATGGAGCACAGCTGGGGAGGGGCTGGGTGGTGCTTATAAAGTCAGGAAATTTGCAGCAGAAAGGGGCTGCAGGGGGAGAGTCTTCAGTCACTCAGTGGGGTATAGAAGAGGTAAGAAGTGGTCCAGGGGGGACAGCAAGGACTCTGAGGGACCCTTGGCTGCCAGCTAGTGGGTCCTGGGCTGCAACCCAGAGTAGAGGGTGGGCCTGGGTTCCCCTACCAGCCACTGAGGAAGGTGGGGTGAAACCCCATGAGGTAAGGGGTATAAAGAGCCCAGAGGCAGACAGAAGACCTGCTGTAAGGTCATTAGACGCTCTGTTACCCCGGGAGGGGTGGACTAAAGAATGATCTGTCCAGAGGGACAAGTTGTGGGGAGAGAGACCATTCCAGTGATAGAACAGCCATTAGCAGGGGGTGCCATGTGGGAAGACAGTTGTTATGCCATGCCTGGCCATGAGGCGGCGTTCCTGCAGTGAGTGAACCCTTTACAAGAGGTTACATACAATCCTCGCCCACAATAATACATAAACTTTGCATTTAATACAATGAACCCCAAAGATACTTACACTGAATTCAGTGAGGTCTCCCAAGCACATGCTGGATACTGCTGTCTCTATCACAGCACATTCCATCCAGGCTGGATTTCACGAGACCCTGTCTGAGGTGCTTTGCTAAAGTCCAGCTGGTGCCTTTGTACACTGACATCTGTGTATCTAGTAATAGCCGGCACCTTCCTCCCCCAGCCTCCTTAGTCATTGGAACAGCTGTGTCACTCAGGAGGCTCGACGCATGCGCTTGGGACCTTCTGGAATGTCTCTTCCCTTGGTTTGCTAGAAACCTTTGGTTCTTTCTGTAACGTTTGGATTATCTGAACCCTGCTGTGTCCTTGGCCAAATATTTCCATACACCAAGGTTGAGACTTAGAATCACTTGCTGGAAATATTCTTTTTCCTATTAGTAAAGTTCAGGATACTTAAATGTATTGCCTCATAACCCAGTCTCCTCCTTGTCACTGTGTAAGGAATTAAAAGTAGGGATATGATTAGAAAATTTTAATGTAAAAGTAGCACCTGCCCAAGCCCCGTTCTAATACTGCCTGGCTACACACTTGCACTGGGACTGAAATTGTGCTTTAAGCATAATTTAAACTGTTTGTCTGCTAGTCTAAGGATGTTCCTCCATCCCAACACCAATGGTACTGTACGTGTAATAAATAACATCAATCTTTGCTTACTGTTCACACTCACATAAATGGATGTGCTGGACTCCACAACAGATTCACTAGCTACATTCTTCTTAGGGATGGTGGTGGAGCAGGGAGAAGAACCCAGCTTGGTTTCCCAAAAGTCAGACTGAGCAGATCATTGGAAAAATTGTGCTGCTGCAAGATGAGTGATTGTGCAGTGGAGTCACTGATTAGGAGGACAAAGAAAGGCCTTTTGACTGAACATAACCTTGGCTGCAGCAGCTGCCTTCCTAGCACAGGGATTATGTCATTATTCACACCAGGGCATGGAAGTTTGTGGGCTTGCACTAGGGATAAATTTGGCTTCTTTCTTATTTTGTTCCTTTCCCTGCCTGCAGTTGCTGTGGGCCCTCCTCTCTCAGGAGGGGGCAGGACAGAAATGTCTGCTCAGACAGTGACACTTGAAGCTGACAGACCTGTCCAGCCAGCTCAGCTGCTGGGCCTGTGTGCCCATCTTTGGATTGCTCTCTGATTGCCAGACCGCCCCTCTCTGGCTGTGCCTAAAGATAGAACCAGCCCATCTCTCCTTCCAGCCTCTCTCTGCTGCAGGCTTTACAGAGCAATGTAATTAATCAGCGCAGGGACAGGAAAGTGTGCACAGGCCCTTTGCACCACAGGGCAGGAGTTACAATTGTTCGAGCCTTGGAAATGGCTTTGCTGTGTTACAACAAGGGCTGTGGGCAAAGATTTGATGCCGATAAGAACTCTGAGGGTAAGTGGATTTGTTTTCCAGGAGTTAGTGAGCTGAGATTTGAGCTTTTTTCCTCAATCTTGTTACAACGTTTCCTTGCCCTTGTGTCAGGTAACAGAAGTTGAACTACTGGGATTTCCAGTGAGCCAGTTGCTCTAGCAGATTCCCCGACTCTTGGAAATGCCAATCTGAGTCAGCAGCATTCAGCTGCATGTGGAAAACCATGGCCAATTAATAGATGGTGCCTGAAAATGTGGAAGGGGATGCAAATTCTGCCCATGAGCTGACACCAATCTGCACTGAATTGCATGGTAGGGTTAAGCTAACCTGGGGCCCTAGGCATGAAAATAAATTCAGCCCCCTTCCCCTATCCAATCCCCTGGAAGTATTTCATTGAGTTGGCAGCATTTTAATGTTTTTTCCAGGGCCAATTCTCTGAGTAAGCCAGGAGCCTAAGTGAGGGGTCTAGAGAAGTTCAGGTAAATGGAGGCAACTGGTGTCAATGAGAACTCCCTTCCAGACAGGTGTTGAATCGCTGAGGTCAGGGTCATTGCAGCTGTTGATGGAGTTCCAGGTACTCGGGGGCCCTAGGCTCTGCTCTTAGCTAGTCTGGGTTCTTCAAAGCCCAGAACAGTCTCTGGTTCCTGAGGTGCATGAGAACCAGGTAGGGCATTGACTGTCCAGAGGGCAACTGCAGGTGCCTGTCCCGAGCTGAGTATCTCATAGGGGCGTAAAATGCAAATCTGAGAAGTGTTACCCTGCGGACCAGACCTGGAAATAGAATCATAGAAGATTAGGGTTGGAAGAGACCTCAGGAGGTCATCTAGTCCTACCCCCTGCTCAAAGCAGGACCAACCCCAAATAAATCAGCCCAGTCAGGGCTTTGTCAAGCTGGGCCTTAAAAGACTCTAAGGATGGAGATTCCACCACCTCCCTAGGTAACCCATTCCAGTGCTTCACCACCCTCCTAGTGAAATAGTGTTTCCTAATATCCAACCAAGACCTCCCCCGCTGCAACTTGAGACCATTGCTCCTTGTTCTGTCATCTGCCACCACTGAGAACAGCCGAGCTCCATCCTCTTTGGAACCCCCCTTCAGGTAGCTGAAGGCTGCTATCAAATCCCCCCTCATTCTTCTCTTCTGCAGACTAAACAAACCCAGTTCCCTCAGGCTCTCCTCATAAGTCATGTGCTCCAGACCCCTAATCATTTTTGTTGCCCTCTCTGCTGGACTCTCGGCAATTTGTCCACATCCCTTGGGTATTGGCGGGCCCAAAACTGGACGCAGTACTCCAGATGTGGCCTCACCAGTGCCGAATAGAGGGGAATAATCACTTCCCTTGATCTGCTGGCAATGCTCATTCTAATAGGCCTCCTACTAATAGCCTGATTGGCCCAACCGCTTGAGCTAGAGAAAGGGGTAGCAGCAGGCACTGCTTCTCATTGCAGTCTGACTCACTCCTGTGGACAGGGACCTGCTGCTCTGACAAGCACCTCACTGACGGCTGGAGTAGGCGTCAAGAATGCACACTCTGTTCAGCAGAAGGGAAACTCAGTGCTCTCGTCCCAGTAGTTCCTAGCCGGTCCACCGCAGTGATCAAGGCAGGAGCGCAGGCTGTGTGGGAGCTCCAGTTTCTCCGTTCCCAGCCTCGCCCAGGAGGAGACCCTGTAGGAAACAGGGCAGACGTACTGGCTGTGGATGCATGGGGGATGTCCCAGCTACTTCAGTCACAGCCTCTCCCAGCAGGGTGGCCATGACAGACTGCACCCCTGTGTCCACACCCTACTCACTGTTGTAATAATCTTTGTATAGAGTGTGCCTTGTGAGGTACCATCTGAAAACTCATATTTGCTGGTCTGTATTGTCCTGATAAAATGTGTGAGGCAACATTGTCTGTGACATTATAAGATTCCCCTGTATGGTGATCTTAACATATGTTCCAAACTGAGGTTGGCAAACAGGTCTGTGTCAAACAAAGGATTGCGTGCTCTGCTTAATTTGCATTTAAGCAATAAACAGAGTCATCAAGCAGGAAGGGAAACAAAAGACGCTCCAACCAGTGAGGAAGAGCAGCAGGGAACATCCTTCCCTATAGGATCTCTATGTCAGGGGTGGCCAAACCGTGACTTGTGAGCTGCATGTGGCTCTTTTACCATTGAAGTGCGGCTCCTGCAGTTCCCCACAACATCCCCACTCTCCGCTTATCAGACTCGTGGGGGAGCTTGGGGCCTCTGCCTTGCAGTAGGGAAGTGGGGCAGGGGCTTCGGCCCAGCAGGGAGGGAGAAGTCTCAGGGCTTCAGCAGGAGCGGGGCTGAAACCAGAGCCCCAGCAGGCGCCTCCAATGGGGGTGAAGCACTGAGTCCTGGCAGGTGTGCCCTGGCTCTCGAACTTCTGAAGATTGCCGTATGCGGCTCGGAGGGTCAGTAGGTTGGGCAACCTGCTCTCTGTCCTGAATCTCAGCTGGAAATGTTTTCAAGAGGGGGACTGACACTATAAAAATGAGGGATAAACACCTCAAGGAACACTCCCCCTGCTCCCTCCCTCTCTGTCCATTGATTCACCACATGAGAAGGGACAAAGGAAGCAGGGGTCCTGGCCGAAAAGTTTGGTCAACAAGACTGTTGAGAGGATGTGCTGAGAAAAACTTTGCTTTGAATTTAGTATAGTTTGTTAAGTTCAGCACGAATTGCGTTTTATCTTTATTTTTCTTGTAAATCATTTCTGACTTTTATGCCTCATTACCTGTATTCACTTAAAATCTCTTTGTGTAGTTAATAAACTTTTTACTGTTTTATCTAATCCAATGTGTTTAAATTGAAGTGTCTGAAGAACTATTTAAAATAATAAGATGGCATATAATTATCTTTAAAAATAACAGACTTATCATATTTGTATTGTTCAGGAGAGCGTTGGGGATTACAGGACACCTATTTCTAGGGGAAACCTAAGACGGGGGGTGTGCTGGGGTCACCCTGCAGTATAATCAAGGCTAGTAAGAGCCACGGTGTGGCTGGCTGGCTGCAGCACACAGACATAGCTGGGAGTGACTTACATGCTGGAGACTGTTTGTGAGCAGGCCAGACTGGAGGCTACAGCAGCACGGCATGGCAAAGGTCACCCCAGTTTAGAGGACGGGGTGACACTGCTATTCGTTAGTCTGGATTGTACCTTGGTACTAGGTTTGTGCACAGCTTGTTGCACTTCAAGCATTGGGATAGCACTGATGGCTGGAAACAGTCACAGAGAGGTTACAGCTTGTTGTTTTCTGTTTGCTTATTTCGAATAAGGGAAATAGAAACAGTAAATCATAAAAGTGAGTAGCAGCGACAGAACTTCAAAGCTAGAGCTGGCCAGATTGGAGAAAGAAGAGAGACAGAGAAAGTGAGCCAAAGAAAAGCAGGCATAAGAGCAGCGGCTGGAAGCTGCCCGTCGGTGAGCCATGGAGCTGAACGAACAGGAAGCAGCAGCAGCTGCTCACCAGCAAGCCCTGGAAGGCTGTTTGTGAGCGGCCCAGGTGGGAGCTCCTACAGCAAGGCATCATAAAGCACCCAAGGTTACAGGGGAAGGGGTGACACAGCTACTCGTTAGTCTGGATTGTGCCCCCGGGTATGTCACAGGGATGCTGTAGGGAGCAGGGCAGGAGCGCTGGCTGACCAATAGGGATTTGTGACCTGAAGCGCTGACTCTGTTTTGAGAGATGGGGTCTAAATTAGCTGTTACCACTCAAGAAAGATCTTGGCGTCATTGTGGATAGTTCTCTGAAAACATCCACGCAACGTGCAGTGGAAGTAAAAAAGTGAATAGAATGTTGGGAATCATTAGGAAAGGGATAGATAAAAAGACAGAAAATATCATATTGCCTCTATATAAATCCATGGTACACCCACATCTTGAATACTGCATGCAGATGTGGTTGCCCCATTTCAAAAAAGATATATTGGACTTGGAAAAGGTTCAGAAAAGGGCAACAAATATGATTAGGGGTATGGAACGGCTTCCATATGAGAATAGATTAATAAGACTGGCACTTTTCAGCTTGGAAAAAAGACGACTAAGTGGGGATATGATAGAGGTCTATAAAATCATGACTGGTGTGGAGAAAGTAAATAAGGATGTATTATTTACTCATTCTCATAACAGAAGAACTAGGGGCCACCAAATGAAATTAATAGGCAGCAGGTTTAAAACAAAAGGAAGTATTTTTTCACATAATGCACAGTCAACCTGTGGAACTCCTTGCCAGAGGATGTTGTAGAAGGCCAAGACTATAACAGGGTTCAAAAAAGAACTAGATAAATTCATGGAGGATAGGTCCATCAATGGATATTAGCCAGGATGGGCAGGCATGGTGTCCCTAGCCTCTGTTTGCCAGAAGCTGGGAATGGGCAACAGGGGATGGATCACTTGATGATTCCCTGTTCTGTTCATTCCTCTGGGGCACCTGGCATTGGCCACTGTTGGAAGGCAGGACACTGGGCTGGATGGACCTTTGGTTTGACCCAGTCTGGCCATTCTTATGTTCTTATGTTCTTGTTTTTGGCTCATAGATTCCTGTGTGTACCACCCAGGTGTTCCCATATTCCATGATGTCCTAAAGGTGAGTGCAGCGGTAAAGGGACAGCTCTTGTCATAAGTTCAGAATCAGGTGCCAGAAACAGCTGCCTACGTGAGATATGGGAGACAGTCCATGTGTCCATGTGTATGGGTGACAGTCCATCCAGGACAAAGGGAGATCCAGGATATAGGGAAGTGTGTGTTTAATGTGGGGATTGAGAGGTCAGTATGGTTTTCCGTACCTGACCATATACATTCTATTCTTGTGTCCAGGGCTGGTCTTGTTGCAAGAAACGAACCACAGACTTCTCAGAATTCCTCTCTATAAAGGTATGTAACCCACCCACCTCTACAGGCGCTCCAGTCTCCACCACTCCCAGACACACCTGGCCCCCAAAACAAAACACCGGAACCCTCACCCTCTGGCTGCCTGGCCGGTCTGTCCCAACTCTGTCCACTTCCCTGGCCAGATCCCTATCCACGGCTGGTCCGTCCCT